GATGTGTCTTAATATAGTCCACTTGTTTCTGCTCCCTGAATGTTTATGGAATTTACATTCTTGCCCTCTTTCTTTTATCTTAATGCAATACAAAGAAGGATGCTGACAAGTTTAACCTGCTGATTAAACGAATGGCCGGCTCCTTCCCTACCTGAGGCTCAATGTCCAGGATTGCAATTTTGCCCTGTTGATGGATCTTGTGCAAAGTTTCAAATTTGGTGCCAAACATATAGCCCTGGTAACTTCCAAACTCCAGGAACTCGTTAGCAGAGATAGCTCTTGTCATGTCTTCTGTGGTGACGAAGTGATAGTTCTTCCCGTCCTCTTCATTCTTCTTTTGGGGTCGAGTGGTATCTGCGAAAATCAGTGCAGTGTAACAATATTGCAGGAAGTGACTCATCGTAGAATGAGCTTAAATTTGGAGGGTGCAGTTCAGTGGATAGTAGCATCTACATGGAGATGGTGAACCCAAGAAGTCTTTATATTTGTAAGACTGGGTCCAAGAGAACTTGGCAAACCTGTGACAAAAAATCTGGGGGACAGGCTGGGAATACCAGTTCAACTAAGCTTGACAACTAATTGCTGGACATGTTGAATTTGGGCAGGGTGAATATGAATACCCAAAAATCTTTGGAGGTAGTAGCTACCAGACTTCCTCCACCACCCCAACCAAGCTTTTTTTTTTTTTCTAGATGAGAAAAAGACACAGACTTCCAGACTTTTAAGTAGTTTAGAAGTGGAGAAGCAATTGTACAGTCCAGAAATAGAAGGAAGAGTGAGAAAGAAATTCAAAATAACTCCACTTTGATTATGTTCAGTATCGGACTAGACAAAAAGAAACCTGAACAGAAATAATAGAATGACAGAGTTGGAAGGGACTTTCTGGTCCAATACCCAAGCAGGAGACCCTATACCATTCCAGACAATGGTGTAGGTCTAGGAGATCCTATACCAATCGAGACTTTCAGGATTCTGCCAACGTACCTTATAACAAAACAGTACTATTCTTGGAATCCCTGGAGGATTTGTTTCTTGATCAGGCCTACCACCAAAGTCTGGCATCAATCTTGCAAACCTTTGAGGTTTCCTCTGTCCCAATTTATGCTAAGCAAAATCAAGATGGAAGTACTTTTGAGTTTCTTTCTTACACTTCTATCGCTGGAATAGATCATCTCTTCACCAAGTCAAAGGCATGTGGATTTCATGAATAAATAAAGAAATCCCCTCCTTAATTGTTCTCCAATAGCTTCCTCAAGGAAGCCTCTAAATTATGGCCTATTTAATTGGCAGTGCAAATCAAGAGTTGTATAGGTGTAATAGCTTGAGGAGCTCTGCGAGCAGAACTGTGGGATAAAACATTCCAACTTAAAATATGCATCTTTCAAACATGGCAACTTTCAGGTGTGTGGACTTCAACTCCCAGAATTCCCCAGCTAGCGAGTTAAAGTCCACACAAGTTGCTAATCTTGAAAAACAGTAATCCAGTGTCTCCTCCCAAAGAGACATATTGAATAGGTTTCATGTGGGCAGACATACATGGAACAGGATATCCGAACTTCTCTGGGTATTTGTTGAGCAGCATGTTCTTAATGTGGCTTCGTCCAACGCCACTTGCCCCTGATCCAAAAGGAAAAAAAATAAGTTAGGCATCACAAAGGGAATTATTTTTATCTGTTTTCCCATCTCATTGGCAGGAAGCTGCTGTTAGTTTCAAGCAACTTTACT